GGGGGGGGGGGGGGGGGCGGAGCCGTACAAGTTTAAACAAAAATAAAACTCAAACTCCAAACCAGCATCATGGGGGAAAAGCAGCACGTTAGGCATTGGTACATGTGTTTTACTGTTTTGTAAACAATACTAGTTTCAGAACTTTGGGCTGATTTCATCTATCTTTGGGCAAAACGACGGAAAGGATCTTCTAGACTTGACCTCCCAGGGCTTGGAGTGGTACCCTAGGAGGGATCATTCTGTTTTCCCTTGAGCACAGGGGTTGGAAAGTCAGGGCAGGCAGCTCTAGTCTGGCCAATGTACCCCAGCTTTTTTCTGATTCCAAGACCCACTTGAGGTGCATTATTGAAATACAGCTTCTCGGGGCCCTCCCCCTAGAGACTGCCTGGAGGGGAGCCTGGGAATTTGCCTTTTCAACAAGAATCAAGATTAGGGACGTCTGGTTAAATATTGAACACATATTTTGAAGGAGTAAAAGATGTAGTGGGGGTTTCTTAGTTGAATCTGGATACAGTGGTGCAATGAGGACATAGGAGCTGAGGTATAAAGGGGCGAAGACATGGCTGGGCGCTGTGGCTCACGCTTGTAATCCTAGCACCTTGGCAGTTGGAGGCAAGAGAATTGTCTAAGGCAGGAGTTCGAGACCAGCCTGGGCAATTGGGGAGACCTCGTCTCTACAATAAATTAAGAAAAATGAGCCAGGTGTGGTGCACGCTTATAGTTCCAGCTACTTGTAAGGCTGAGATGGAAGGATCACCTGAGCCCAGGTCAAGGCTGCGGTGGCTGTGAGCGTGTCTCTGTACTCCAGCCTGGGCAACAGAGAGAGATGACGACTCAAAAAAAAAGGTGCAAAGACAGGTGGTGTGTTTCTGAAACAGAAGAATCACTGTTTGGTTAGTTGCATGGTGGTGGAGGCAGTGTTAGGTCAGTAGGGAGCAGGTTCTGCAGGGCCTTGGAGAAGTGCTGGGCAGTATGGCTTGTTCAAGAGTTTGGGCAGGGAGAGGCATGAGTAGATTTGCATGTTGGATCATTACACAGTGTTGAGGTTTATAGTGAAGTAAAGAGTCATATTTAGCGAATTGAGAGCCAAGGCCAGGTGCTTCGTCTTCCACAGTCAAGATTTTGAGTTGGGTATTACTCTGCTCATCTTGTAAATGAAGAAAGTGAAACAAGAAGACTTTTGGCCTGCCTGAGGTCATGAAACTAATAAAGGAAGGAATGGGGATCCAAACCCACATCCTTTGTCTCTATTGCCACTTCATTAAACTGCTGATCACAGATGTGGTCCAGATGAAGGGGTCTAAATTAGCTTAGTGGTGGGCTGGTGTTTGGGACATCTTGTACAAAATGTCCTGGTACTTCTCACATTGGGCCTTTGAGTCATAAAGTGTTAGAACAGGGTATATCTAAGTGGTATCTAGTCCAATGCCTTCATTTTATAGACTGAGCACATGAATTACTTGTCCCAGCTTATGCATTCAGCTTAGACCCTACTGATGGGAGATTGGGGAGTCTCATGTTTGGAGAATTTTAGTCATTACCCTGTTTTGGCCCATTGACTCTAGTGGGCTCTCATTGATGAGAGGGGTGGGCCCAGTGTTTATTTCATGTTCATTCTAAGTGTGACTCTGCTTGGAAGAGGGACAGAAAGTTATAACTACATTTTGAAAGATAGGTGGTGACCCAAAGTCTGTTCACCTGATGTTACGTGTATTTGAGGAGGCAAGAAGATGTAAGGAGGCTACTGTGGTATTAAGTCCAGATTATAGAAACTAAGAGCTCCTGAAATGCAAGTTGATTCGTCTGGCTGTATTTGTACCTGGGCGGTGGTGATAGGTGAGACTGGACAGGTGAACAAGCAGGAAGGGTAATGTCATGATAGAGCTTGGGTGTTTTTTTTTTCAAAGGAGATAGGAAACTAAGCAGGAGATGGTTGTCAGATTTGTGCCTTATGAAGTCATTGTGGCACTGTGAAAGATGACTGAAAAGAAGGATTGGGATTGAGGCATACGGGAGATGTTGCTACTGCAAGCATGCAAAAAATAAGGAAGGGTAGAAGTCAGTGTGGAAAGAAGGGCCACATTGGAGAGATGGGAGATAGACTTGATAGTGTTTGTTGACAGGATGCGAGGGCAGATGAGGGAGGAGAAATTGAGGATGACTCGCAGGTTTCTGGGTAATAGGTAGATGGTGGAATCTTTTCCTGAAATATGGGAAGTGTGTTTTAGGAAGAAGATCTGTTTCCAGGGAAAAGATGAGGTCCGTTTTGGACCTAAAGAGATTGGAGTACTTGTATGGAAACGCGAATAGGCTGTTGAATACTTGAGTCTGGAGCTTAAGAGAGAGGGAGAGAGGATTAGGTACATTCTCAATTTATGAGCAGGTAGACAGTGTGACCCAGGGGAAGATGTGATGATGGTTGAAGCTGGAGAACAGACATGGGACAATGGGTCTCAGGTGAAGTGGGCCTCACTTCGCAGCTTGCTCCAGGTTGCCCATGCACATGTGGTCTGAGAGAAGACTCGCTGATCTTTCTTGAAGTCTTCCCTGAAGTTGTAGGGTTCTGTGTGCTCCCAGAGCACTGCTTTGAGGATGCTAGTCCAGATAGGGGGAGGGGCAGGTAGAGAAACTTTTCTGTAAAGGGCCAGACAGTAAATACTGTAGGTCGTGCATATTTCTGTTACAACTAGGAGTCTGCCCTTACAGGGGGAAAGCAGTCATAGAAAATGTGTAGAAGAATGGGTGTGGTTGTGTTCCAATAAAACTTTAGGTATCAAAACAGTAAAGGGCTGGATAGCTCTTACCCCATTATGTTAGAGGCAGTTGGATGGAGATTGGTATCTCCTACTAGTTTGTGAACTTCTATGGAAAATGGCTTGTCTTGTATTTTCTTAGGTTCTCTGGGGGATGAGCACAGTGCTCAGTTCAGAGTAAGTGTTCAAAGAGCATCTGCTCGTTTAGAAAGGCAACCTTAAAGTTGGACAGAACTAGAGTTAATTCATCCTGTCGTCCTCCCATTGTCCTGAACAAATGAAGAAGCTTGTTTTGCACTTGGAGCCAGTGACTTGCCTAAGGTTGCTTCCACACAGAATTAGGCCTGGAATCCAGCCAGGCACACTGGCTCGAGGCAAGTAAGTGAGCCTTACCATCTAATGATGAGTCGATGGCTCATGCCTTCAAGATCACTGTGGTAGTCTTTGTTGAAAACCATTAAATGGCATGTGTGAAATAATTTTGAAAACAACAATAATAGTTAATACCTATTGAACTGTTACTAAGTGTCAGGTGGTATACTTAACTCCTCTAAATGTTAGCTTATGGAATTCTCACAAGAGCCACATGGGAGTAGGCATTATTAATTATCTTTGTTTAACAGAGGAGGTAATAGACACTTGGAGAGGTTCAGTAACTTGGGTGGCCACAGCACCAGCTTTCCAGGGAGAAGTTGCAGTACAGACCTCCTCGGTGGGATTCAAGGTCCCATTTTCTTAGTGGCTTGCTATTTGTCAGCCTACTTCATGAGATGGTTATGAAAGTCAGATGAAATAGTGTGTGTAGAATCCTTTGAAATAGGCCGGTTATACAGGTTGAAGATGGGTTTACAGGATGTTTATATGAATGAGGAAACATCATGACTTGACGTTCACCAACAGCAGGAGGATGATTCTGGAGAAGGAGAGGATGATGCTGAGGTTCAGCAAGAATGCCTGCATAAGTTTTCTACCCGGGATTATATCATGGAACCCTCCATCTTTAACACCCTGAAGAGGTATGTGAGAAAGGTCTTTGTGTGGGGAGGAGGATGGGGATGATTCAGAGAGAGATTTGTAATAGACCCAAAAGATGCTATATAGAGTAAGAGTAGTGTGAGGCTGAAACGAAAGGCTTCGAGGGTCCCCTCTGCCACTTAAACATCTCATAACCTAACTTGTTGTCCATCTCAGGCTCACCTGAACCTCGCTCTAGTATCTATTGCCGCTTTGTGACTTTTCCTAGGTATTTTCAGGCAGGAGGGTCTCCAGAGAATGTCATCCAACTCTTATCCGAGAACTACACGGCTGTGGCCCAGACTGTGAACCTGCTGGCTGAGTGGCTCATTCAGACAGGTGCTTCATGTGTGCCCTTGTCCTGGCTAGTCATCCTCCCCTTTTTAAAATAGGTCTTTGGATCATTATAATGCTGATCCATGAGAAATGCCTTTGTGTTTCTAGTTTTTAAGACTTGTCCAAGTAAGGACTGAGCTTCTCATTCATTTCCATCTGCCTGACTCTTACCTTTGCTTTATCATTGAGGTTTACTGATAGCAACGGGATTCTCAGTGAGTTGTTCTCCCTGCCATGTTGTAGAATTACAGGATTATACAGTGTATATTCAGTGTGTCATTTTTAAGACGTCTATTATGGCATGCAGTAAATGATGGATAATTTCAGACTAGCTGTGATTATGGCTTTTAGCTAATATGATCAAAGTAGAGCCTTACTGTAAATCCAGGGAGCCGGGTACAGATGACATCACTGGAGTGAGTGCTGTCCGGAAACTTATCGCTTCAGTGCTGTCCCAGCAGCCAGAGACAAGCGTGTCTCTTGGCTGGCACCTGCTCCCTCCTGCTGGGCAGGGGTGTGTTTTTCCATCCTCCTGCCTGTCCCTTTTGGCCATTTGCCTTTATGCCTAGCAAAGTTTGGAAGACCTTACCTCCTGTCTGTGTAGACGGGTAGATGATCCTTTGTGTTCTGCTCATATTCCTTGTTGGTTTTCACCACTGAATATACTTAACAACTACTTTTAAAAGTTCCCAAATATTTTATAATGGACAGAAGCAATTCTGTGATATCTGATTCACATGGAGGCTTTTGACCTGTTCACTTTTTCTAAAGTGATGCATGAGTTGAGAGCTGGCCATTGTCTAGTCACTTTCATTTTCTTTCAGGTGTTGAGCCACTGCAGGTTCAGGAAACTGTGGAAAATCACTTGAAGAGTTTATTGATCAAACACTTTGACCCCCGCAAAGCAGATTCTATTTTTACTGAAGAAGGAGAGGTGAGAAATTTTCTTTGTCCCGGTACCAGTTCCTAGGGTCTTTTGTGAATTTCATGTGTACATTGGAGTGTGGCACATCATGGACATGTCAGAGTTGGGAGCTAACATCAGTGTGTGATGGGAGCTGCAGAGTCAGAGTTACCTTTAAACTCTGTGCTCAGTATAGTGAGATGCTTGCTCCTGACAGGGACATATGGCGGAGATCAGAGAAGGAATAGCAGGTTCTCCTCCACTCTCCATCTCTGTGACTCTAGGGCCCAGCTCTTGGAGGACTGTGGTGTTTTTGTGTGAGTCCTCCAAGAAGCAGCTTCAAGACAAGACTAGACAGAGATTATGGAGGACACAGCTATGAGAGAAGATGGCTAAGGGCCAGAGGATGCTGGGGGCCATTATGCAGGCATGACTCTTGGGGGTAACAGGGAAGGATGGAGGGTTAGCAGGAAGAATCTTAGGCCACAGTATGGTTTCCAGAAAGTTCCAGCCATGTCAGCAGGGAGTCTTCAGGTCTCAGGTGCTTGTTCCGGGAGCCCGTGTCTCCTGGGCAGGCTGCTTTAGAGGCCCTGCTGTGCTTAGTGGCCAGGAATAGCCGTGGGGAACCTAGCCTTGACACAGATGGGATGGTGGATTCAGAGAGTAGTCCCGAAGCCACCAGTTGCACAGTATGGGAGGCAAAAGATTCATTTTTCTGTTCTCTATACACGGTGGTGGGCAAACCACTTGTGCCATTTAAGCGACCTTTTTCTCTGTGCTGGGGGCAAGCAGCTGGTGTAGCATGAGCTCCCTGTGCCTGAGGCAGCCACTGCCCATGGGCTTCTGCTGTACTTGGACTCTCTGGGAAGCGCCTCTCAGTACTCTTGTACTGAGTTGAGTCTTCCACAAGTCAAGAGTGGGTGTCCAGGAACTGTCCTGCCCCTCAGTCCACCAGGTGGCTGTGACCAGCTCTGGGCTGCTTCCCCCGGGGCTAGATGCTCATGGGATCTCTTCCAGCAAGAATATCTGTGACTGTACAACACAATCTTCACTTATGCGACAGCCAGGCCTCTTAACTTGCTGTTTCTTGGCAGACCCCAGCGTGGCTTGAACAGATGATTGCACATACCACGTGGAGAGATCTTTTCTACAAACTGGCCGAAGCCCATCCAGACTGTCTGATGCTGAATTTTACTGTGAAGGTAGGAAGAGCTCAACAGTGGAGAAAAATAAAGGTGTTTGTGAGTGAGGGTTATTTGGGGTTGTTGGGTGGTCTGTTTCCTTTCAGAGTTCATACTTGCTTTTGCAGTAAAAGTCTTGATTGTTTTGCTCTGTAAGCCTTACACTGAGAAGGAAAAGAATACAATTTGTATCTGTGTTGGGTCAACACCAACTGTAACTTAGGGTTTAGCAGGGACACATTTGTAGTCTGTTGTGCTCTGAGAGGAGCACATATGAGGAATCCAGGGAGAGGTGGTTACCTAGGTTGCAGCCTTGGTGATAGCAAAGCGGGGGTTGGAGTGAGAGTTTAGGGCTCAGGACTGGGGCTTGCTTATTCCCCTTCATCACAGATGAGACAAGCCAGCCCTCTCTGGAAGGGTGATCACTGCCCGCAGTCCTTGACATCTTGTTTTTGTGCGGTAGCTTATTTCTGATGCAGGGTACCAAGGCGAGATCACCAGTGTGTCTACTGCGTGCCAGCAGCTAGAAGTGTTCTCACGAGTACTCCGTACCTCGCTAGCCACAATTTTAGATGGAGGAGAAGAAAACCTTGAAAAGAATCTTCCTGAGTTTGCCGTAAGTTCTTGACTTGATGAGCCTCAGATGAGGGGAGGCTGCTGTGGGTTCTGTTTTGGAAGCATGAAATGCTCAGCCCTGAAGGACGTCCATTCCAGAGGGCCCTTTAGGAATGGGAACTCGTGCCTGAGAACTGTTGAGGATTTGGCTCTTGTCCATGTGTCCATGCTTCAGTAGTGAACCCAACCCCTTTCTCCCTGTAATCTTTCAGAAGATGGTGTGTCACGGGGAGCACACATACCTGTTTGCCCAGGCCATAATGTCCGTGCTGGCCCAGGAGGAGCAGGGGGGCTCTGCCGTGCGCAGGATCGCCCAGGAAGTGCAGCGCTTTGCCCAGGAGAAGTGAGAGGCCCTGTTTCTGCTCACCCTGTCCCTCCCTAGTGCACCCTGCAGGCCCCTCCCATGTCCCTAGTTCCACAGCCAAAGCTTCTAGCACCTTCTAGATTTTGACATATAGGTAAACTTCATTTTATCCAACAGAGCTGGAAGAGTCAGAGTAGTTTAAAGTACATGTGGAGAACTTGCTTTCTAAAGTGTTGCTTTGGTGACTGTTTTGTAAAGTATTCGACTATTCTTCAGCTCTCTGGACTTGTGGGCTTAGACTGTCTTACACCGGGATTCATCAATAACAAATCACATCAGTCCTGAAAATAGTAATTCATCAATCTATTATTACGTTGTCATCTATATCTTACAGTTTAAGATGAGCTTGTATTTGCTTTCTTTTCTAATAGAGTCACAGTGAGGTATTGTAAAGTGTGTGATTCCTTGTATAGAGTTGGCAAAGCTGAGTCATTCTTTCCCAGATTGCTCAAATTGTTGTTTTCATGGGTCAGTTAATCAATATATCTGTGAATGACAGAAACATTGAAAAACAAAGGGATCCCAGCAATCCAAAGCATTAAATGTGAAAGAGAAAAGAAAGAAAAAAGAAAAAGCTGCCTTGTGATGATGGGCTCTGTGGTTTTTCCATCAAGAGGCCACGATGCCAGTCAGATCACGTTGGCCCTGGGCACAGCTGCCTCTTACCCCAGAGCCTGTCAGGCCCTCGGGGCCATGCTGTCCAAAGGAGCCCTGAACCCTGCTGACATCACCGTCCTTTTCAAGATGTTCACAAGCATGGACCCGCCACCTGTGGAGCTCGTGAGTTGCTTCTCATCTTGAAAATTAGTTGGGATACCCCCAATGCCAACAGGGCCACTTGTGAAAGTCTGTTTTGTCTAATTTTCTTAAGTCCTATAAGTGTAAATTCTGTCATTTTCCTGTTCTTTCCTCACGCTTTCAGCTTGGAAACGTTAGTGTCCCTGCAGGGGTGAGTGAGACCACCAAGCATGGCCTCACATCTGCTGTTCTGTTCCTGGATGTGTGTTTCTCCCCAGATCCGCGTGCCTGCCTTCCTGGACCTTTTCATGCAGTCACTTTTTAAACCAGGAGCCAGGATCAACCAGGACCACAAGCACAAATACATCCATATCTTGGCTTATGCTGCAAGCGTGGTGGAGACCTGGAAGAAGGTACTGTGAGTTCTGAGAATTTGTGGACTTTTAGGAGACAGTTATCTTTTGTTTGGTATTATTTCGAAATTTTGGCTGCAAGAAATCAAGCCTGTCTAGTGTCAGAAATGTTTTTTCTACTGTTTGTGCACAAAGTAGTGAAAGTGCTAAAACATCTCCAGAAAAGGTGTGTGGAGTCTGTGAAACTCTGTAGACTGTAATTGGAAGTATGACTAAAGAAGTAAAACTGATTGCATAAGCCACAGACACTCGTCTCATTGGGCCTCAGTTTCTGTACTCAGTGTGACTGTGAGGTTTTATAAATTAATTGACTTCCGGCGTCAGAGATGGGGCAGTGATTTGCAGAGAGAAGTGGCTGGTGCCAGCGTACCTGTCGACAAGGCTAGGTTCTCCGTCGGGACTAGGCAGTGGTGTGTGTGTTTTCAGAACAAGCGAGTGAGCATCAACAAGGATGAGCTGAAGTCGACATCGAAAGCTGTGGAAACGGTTCACAATTTGTGTTGCAATGAGAACAAAGGGGCCTCTGAACTTGTGGCAGAACTGAGCACCCTTTATCAGTGCATTAGGTAAGCAAAACGAGACCTCCCTCTACCCTTGCTTCTACGGGGAAGAGGTGGTTTCAGGTTTCATATTCAAAGTGCAAAATAGCAAAAGCTTCAGAGATACCTATTCATTTTATTTCTTTTTTCTTTTTTAATCAGTGTGTAGAGAACTTTAAACAGTTTTAGCAGTATGAATAATTTTCAGGTGTTTACTTGTCAGAAGTCTGTTCAATAAACCCTTACAAGTTAGAGTAAGTAAAAGGTAGTCCAGCCAGAAATACAAAAATTGATTCGAAGAAAGTTCTATTTATAGTACAGGTTACACCAGCACAGTGTTGCTTGTATGGAAATGATTTGTGGTCACGCTGGTTGTGTAAATGGATGTGTCCTGGAAATAGTGTGTCCTCTCAGGCATGGGCATCTCTCCCCTCTTAATTTGTACTAGGGACAAAGAAAGGGTTTGCTATAAATAAAGGTAAACTTCAGCCCAGTCCACCAGACTCCCCGAGGGTTTTGCAGTAGTAATCTTTTCCTTTTAAGTTAGTGAAGTGGGTTTAAGGGAGCTGAGCTTGCTGTCTGCCTCACACTGCGCGTGTGTGGTTGCTGATCTGATTGGGCCATTCACTTGTCAGTGCCTCCTGGCAGAGCACATTGAAGGGTGAATCCTGGGTCACTGGGGTTTGTTTTTAAACTATCTGACTTTTTAATGCTTTTCTAGCATATCTGAGTTTTTGTTAGCTGTTTTTTAAAGGAAGCATTCTGTCTCGTTCACCTATAGGTTTCCAGTGGTAGCGATGGGTGTGCTGAAGTGGGTGGATTGGACTGTGTCAGAACCAAGATACTTTCAGCTGCAGACGGACCACACCCCAGTCCACCTGGCGTTGCTGGATGAGGTGAGAGGGTGGGAGGGCCATTGGCAGTGAGCACAGTGTCTGTCTCGAGGCACTGCCATTGTATCCTCTTTTCTTTCTTTTTTTTTTGAGTTGTAGTCTCACTCCATTACCCAGGCTGGAGTGCAGTGGCACACTCATGGCCACCCCAGTGTCGACCTGCTGGGCTCGGTCAATCCTTCTGCCTCAGCCTTCTTAGTAGCGGGAGCTACAGGCGTGCACTACCATGCCCAGCCAATTTTTTTTTTAATTTATTGTAGAGACAAGGTCTCACCACGTAGCCGAGGCTGTGCATCTTCTTTTCTTCTTTCTTTCTTTCTTTTTTTTTTTGAGTTGGAGTCTCACTCTGTTGCCCAGGCTAGAGTGCAGTGACATGCTCATGGCCACTGCAGCCTTGACCTGCTAGGCTCAGGTGATCCTTCCATCTCAGCCTTCCAAGTAGTTGGAACTACAAGCATGCGCTACTACGCCCGGCTTTTTAAAAATTTATTGTAGAAACAAGGTCTCACCAAGTTGCCCAGGCTGGTTTCAAATCCCCCTGAGCTCAGACAGTCCTCTTGCCTTGGCCTCCCAAGGTGCTGGGATGACAGGCTTGAACCACCGCACCCAGCCTGCATCCTCTTTTCAAAAATAGCACTTTCTATCCTAAATGAGCATTTGCCTTTGAAAGATCTAGTTTCATTGACTGTATAGATTTCTCAGTTTTTATTAAGTGTTGCTGGGAGGATGAGGGGTGGTCTAGAAGCTGACTGGCCTTGGGCCAAGTGTCAGGGCCGACTTCATCAGCGATTGCTGTCCTTGTGGTCTGTGACCATGACTGTGGTTCTGTGTGTGCTGAGAGTGGCCACACTGCACAGTGAGGCTTCCTGTTTATAGATCAGTACCTGCCACCAGCTTCTGCACCCACTGGTCCTGCAGCTGCTTGTTAAGCTTTTTGAGACTGAGCACTCCCAGTTGGATGTGATGGAGCAGGTAAGTAGATGCCCAGTGGGTCCATTGGGGGCTGGGGAGGACCCCATTCTAACCAGCTCCCTGCCCCTTCCACAGCTTGAATTAAAGAAGACCCTGCTGGACAGGATGGTTCACCTGCTGAGTCGAGGTTATGTACTTCCTGTTGTCAGTTACATCCGAAAGTGTCTGGAGAAGCTGGACACTGACATTTCACTCATTCGCTATTTTGTCACTGAGGTCAGCAACGCACCGTTGGTTTCATATTTCATACTGTTTACACTAGCACTGTTCTTTTTGGCTTAATTTGGTTCATTTTGTACCTAACTCTGAGAACTGTGCTTTCTGATAATCATGTATGACACTGACAGATAACTAGTCTCTCAGACGCCTCCTGCCTACAGGAGCTGTATTATTTTACCTCCATTCCCACCCTGGGTGTTGGAATGGTGGAGACTGGCGGTGTCACCAGGGAACCGGGGGAGGGAAGGGGAGGGGATTTCTCCAAGCTGATTGCTGTTTCACCGAGTGTTGGTGGATGCCAGTGTGGACCATGCAGGTGACCCTACTTCCCTGCGCAGGTGCTAGATGTCATCGCTCCTCCGTACACCTCTGACTTTGTGCAGCTTTTCCTCCCCATCTTGGAGAATGACAGCATTGCTGGCACCATTAAGACAGAAGGCGAGCATGACCCCGTGACGGAGTTCATAGGTGAGGCTCAGTAGACTCCCTGTGCTCTGATAGAAAACGTCATTGTTTACCTCCTGTTTCTAACCCAGTGACCCTCCTCCTTCTGTTAAAGCTCACTGCAAATCCAACTTCATCATGATGAACTAATTCAGAGCAGCCTCCAGAGCTGAGGCAGAACATTCCAGACCCTTTCAAGAAGCTGCTGTTTTAAGAGGCTCAGTTGGCCTCTTGGAAATGGATTCTGCTGGGAGGAGGTGGACAACTTCTTTAAAAAGGAAAATCTTAGCAGTTTGAGTAAAAAACTGCTATTATGAATAGTCCCTTTTCTCTGTCGTAAACCCAGTACCACTCCTTAAGCCTGTTCACAGCACTCATTTCCCCAGTGTATGAAGTAGGTTTGTGTTACCTCAGGATGGAGCCTACTGCCAGCCCCAGGGGTGGTGGGAACTCAGAGGTATCTCATATTGCTCGGTGGACTGCTTTCAGAGTTGACCTAAGTTTTTTTTTTTTTTACAAGAACCTAATTAGTTAGTTGATGTTTTATTGTATTTGTTTTAATTTGCTAAGAACTAATAAATTTCAGAAAGCCTTTCTACTGGGCTGGGTTAGGTCCTGATGTGTTGTTTTGTGTGTGAATAAGACATGCCCAGGCTCAGTCCTTGTGTGGAGTCAGGTATTTTATTCCTCTCTTGAGCAGTTTGAAGTTGCCATCTCCCCCTCCCCCCCTCCATTGGCTCAGAGTGACACAGGAACTGGTGATAAGTGTGAAATATTATGCCTCTTAAATGCCACAGTTATAATCTGCCACAGTTGCCACATAGAAAACACCAGCCCTCTACTGAAGGAAACTGAGGTCCCAGAATGTCCTTTCTTGTGATTGGTCTTTTACCAGGTAGCTGATGGCAGTCACTATGCAAGTACTAAAGTTATCCCATCTCAAGTCTGCCTTGGGAATGCCAGTACCACGGTGTCCCATGTTGACAGGCCCTTCCAGGGTGTTCAGTGCCATTCCAGCCAGCCATTATTGGTAATCACCGCAGTTCCTGCCAGCTAGCCTGGTGCCTGTGGCCACAGGATCCTCATCTGGTCAAGGTCCGTGGTGCCACCTCTCCAAAACTGCTCTCTCAGAATTGTCGCCTTAAACGATGGGGTCCCCAAAGGTGCAGTGCCTCTCGATAGCAAGGTTGTAACTGGTGCCCTGCCCATCCCTGTAGGTACTGGTCACAATCTTCATCCAACCCTTCTCGCCCTGTGAGGAGAAGCAGGACCTGGCATCAGCCCCTCCGCCCACCACCCTGCCCCCCACCTCTGCCTCCATTCATCTGCCTAGTCTTGGGGCACATGCAGGATCCAGCTGCCTCCTCAGCCACTCCCTTCACTCCTCCCATGCCCCTATTCGGAAATAGCTTTGTTGAAAAAGTGCATGTGGTTAACATTTAACAGGAGGGCCTCTATGCCAGAAGCTAATTAATGTAACAAATGTGTTGACTCTTTAGACCCAATGATTTATCTACCTATCAGTGCCCCTACTTGTAATCATTTAATAAAAAATATTGACATTTCATCACTTCCACATTAACTACTTCCCCCATTTCATGATAATGAATTTCTGTCTCTCAAACTATTAATGGCTAATACTCAGTCTTGAAAATTAAAAACTCTGGCAGTTCATTTCTTTCTCCTGGAGTTTTGACCCAACTCAGAAGTGTTTGAAAACCTACAGTGTTACTTAGGAGAGCCCAAAACCATGACAGGAAAAAGAATGAGATGGCTGTAAAGGAAGGAGCCGTGACACTGTTCCCTCTGGCAGTGCCTCTCCAGCAGTCGCCCCCGGGACACTTGGCAATATCTGGAGACAGTTTTGTTCACACTGGGGCTGGTGGGGAGGCCTCCTAGTGTAGAGGTGCCAGGGATGCTGCTAAACACCCATCAGTGCGTGGGATAGCAGCAGCCCCACACAATAGAGCTGGCCCAAAAGTCACTGGTGCCATGGCTGAGACAGGGCTGGAGCAAGAAGCCCTGTGCTCAGGCCACTGCTTGGAGCTCAAGCCAACCATTCAAGTGAGAGAAGCATCTGTTCTTTTTCAAGTTGTGCCCCTAAGAAAGTGAAAACATCTTACCCAGGGTTCACCCCAGGAGTTCCGGACGATCCAGTACTCAATCCCATCGCTGATGCCCCACCCAGCCACGGAAACGACGTGGTTGATAAAGGCCTCTTTGTGGTACTCGGCGTAGACCCCTCCGGTGTAGTTAGTCATCCTTTCTGTTGCCATTATACCACAGCTGAGGGCAACAGTCATAGGGTCAGCACTTCATAGTGAAGGTGCTTGGCAGCAGGAGAAACAGCCTGATGTGACCACTTGTGGATCCAACATGGGTAATGTGACCACGTGTGAATCTGATACAATAAGTGCACATCAGGCAGTTCTGTGTAGGCCTGCTGCTATTCACACAGTGTCTTCACTGCTGCGACAGCCTGCCAGCACCAAAGCACTCACTAAAGCTGGGGGAGCAGTCCCCCTGTGTGTCACAATCACCCAGGGAGCAGGCAGGTTAGGTGTTAGCTCAGTTTACTTCATAGAAAACTGAAGTTCTTAGAGGGGAAAGGATGTTGGAGCTGTGTCTCATGCCCAGTGACTAAAACAGCCAGGTCCGTGTGCAGTGGCTCATGTCTATAATTCCAGCACTTTGGGAGGCGGAGGCAAGAAGGTTGCCAGAGCCCAGGGGTTCGAGACCAGCCTGGGCAACTTGGCAAGACTGCATCTCTACAATAAATCAAAAAACTAGCTGGGTATGGTGGCATGCGCCTGAAGTTCCAGCTGTTTGAAGGCTGAGGTGGAAGGATTGCTTGAACCCAGTAGGTCAAGGCTGCAGTGGTCACGAATGTGCCACTGCACTCGAGCCTGGGTGACAGAGTGAGACATAAGGCAAGGGATGAAGAACACACATGCACTTGTACACGCACACACTGGTATAGCCTCACGGGCGGGGCCTCTGCTCACCTGATGGGACCATTGGCATAGATTTCTGCCATCATCTTCTCCCTCCCAGAGATGGAACCATAGTCGCCCACTCTCCAGAGGGTGTAGTTCCGGATGGCGTGGCACTCTTTGAATTCAGTACATGTCCCACATTGGTTAAACTTGTCACACTCTAGGACAGAACGTGAAAAGTCAGCATGGGACTGTCTCGTCGCTAACCCTCTGGGAAGCACTCGGAATCCTCTCTCCACTTCTCTAATTCTGCCGACCATTCATTAGCCAATAACAGATCATCTCGTTACTAGTTGCTGTTTAATGAAGCTCTTCTTTCAGCTGCAAGGGAGCTAGAAAAAACCCCCAGGACGTGGCAGAAAAGAAAGGAGACACATTAATCAGCACATAGTAGGTGCCCACAAGGCAGTCTCTTCCCCTTTACTAGAAAGACTGGGAGAAAGCCCTCCTTTCCATAATTTTTTTTTTTTTTTGAGTCGGAGTCTCACTCTCACCCAGGCTGAAGTATAATGGCACACTCATGGCCACTGCATCCTCGATTCATGGGGCTCAGGCAATCCTTCCGCCTCAGCCTTCCAAGTAGCTGGAATTATAGGTGTGTGTCATCACATCTGGCTAATTGTTTGATTTATTGTAGAGGTGAGGTCTCGCCATGTTGCCCAGACTGGTCTCAAACCCATGGGCTCAGGCAATCCTCTCACCTCTGCCTCCCAAAGTGCTGGAATTACAGGTGTGAGCCACCGCACCTGGCTTCTGTAATTCTTTACAGCTGAAATTGGAGTATGATCAAATTGTTAGCACTTCATAAGATGATTCTGTTGCTGGTTAGTGAATAAATAGACCAATACACTTTTTTTAAAAAAGGCATTTTCTTATTTTGGTTTGAGAGGTATCAAGAATTAAGCTTTAAAAAAAGAAAGAAAAAGCCAGGCTCGGTGGCTCAGCCTGTAATCCCGTGCCTTTGGGAGGCTGAGGTGAGTGGATTGCCTGAGCCTGTGGGTCGAGA